AAAAAATTGCAATTTATGGCTTAATTAGGGGATGTGAGATAAACTTACATCCACGTGGTGCACCCTGGGCAACGTATACTCATACGACAAAAAAATCTATTATTCGGCAGTTGACTTCTGACTTTAAACTACCGACACCCCACTGTATGCCATATTCGACTACTTACATAGTACTCACCTCACCTTTTTTCTACATTTTCTACCTTCGTCTTTGAAACACCCTTCTGTTTCCCCCCTCCTCTTGACTTTTTTTCACTTTGATGCTCCTTCTCCCCTCTGTGAAGCCTGAAGTAAACTAAAGGGCTAATGATAAATTAATATAAAAATAGTTACGATTCAGTCATAATTATTTGTTTCCAGCTAAAAACGTTCAAAATGAACTCTCCTTAAAGCTAATACTAAAATAAGGAATCCACCACCCCTCCCACCCTTAGAATGAATTAGGAGGTCAATTCTCTTGGATAACTGTTCCCATTTAATTTTTTAGCAATCGAATTAACGAAGAGCTCAGTGATGAGGTGATTTCGCTGTGTCAGGCGAGGAAAATTGACTGCGAATACGTCGTAGTGACAGATAAGAAACCGGGTGATGGAATTGTGTGCATTGTTAACGAAATGAATATCCAATTAATTGTCATGGGCTCTCGAGGCTTGAGTGCTAGTCGACGAACAATTCTTGGAAGTGTCTCTGACTATGTCCTGCATCACGCACAAATTCCGATTTGTATAATTCCACGAGAATATGCCCTCAATTCTCGCAGTTCTATTGAAGTATGTCCAGAAGGAGCCAATGAATAAGTTTCATGGGTTTTCAAAATAAATAAATCCTGTAGCTTCCTCAATAGTGTTTAATTTTGCTGCTGGAAGTAATTTTCCTATTTTCCTTCTTTCTTCTAAAAAAATTTTGTTAAATAAATTTCGGTTTTTAAGTAAATGAATTACCTCCGTAAATGAATTACCGCTTTGGTGAATTTCGTATCCAGGCAACATAACTGGCATAGTGCTATCCTAATAGCCTCTATTTCTCCTTCAAAAGCGGATCTATTATGTCCCGCTGCTGCGTAGAAAGAGAAGAGTTCAGAATAGACACCTGCATCAACTTTTGCTTGGCTTTCTATGTATGACCCATCAGTGAAGACTTGGAGTCATTGATCTGCAGGATAGTTGACATTGATTGTTTCAAGGGCCAGTGAGCACATTTGCTCTGGAGAGGTGTTTGATTTCCTGAAGTGGTCAAGCAGTTGGGTGCAACACACTACATGAGTGTCTGCTAATGGGTTCATGGGTAGAGGGAGGCTTTTTGGTTTGTCAT